CTCACAACTTTGGAGGGAACATTTTCTGAATAAAAAAATGTCGACTAGCATGTGAAAAGGAGAGTGTCAAGATAAGAGGGAGTGGAAAAACACTAGTTAGGAAACTAAGACAAGCCAAACATGAAGATGGTGATGGTGGTAGACATGGAAAAGAAAACATATTTCAGATGTTTTAAAGAGTTAACATTGGACTTCCACATGGAGCAGCTATTTGTAATGGGAGATGGATGGAAAGCAAAGGAAAGGCAAAACCAAGGATGACACCCAAGTCCTTGGCTGCTGGTAACATCTGAGGTGGAGAGGACGGACAGCGGTATAAATTAAGAGTCCTGCTTTAGATGTAGAGGTGCTCCTTGATTTCCACTGAGGTTATGTCCAAAAAAACCATCGTAAGCTGAAAATATCGTCAGTCGAAAATGCATTTAATTAACTTACTGAACATCATAGCTTAACCTATCCTACCTTAAATGTGCCCAAGGGTAATTGCCTTCCTCTTCTCACCAGCAGCAGGAGACACAGATGGACGTTTTGTAGGCATGATGTGATGCCAAACCACAATATCCAAAAAATGCAACACAGCACACTTGTAGAGTACCAGTGATTTACCCTTGTGATCAGCTGTTTAATCTCAGGCCCTTGTGGCTGACTGGGAGCTGCGGCTCACTGTGCTGCCCAGTTTCAAAAGAGTGTCCAATTTCATGTTGTGAGCCCAGGAAAAAATCAAAATTCAAAATCTGAAGTACAGTATCTACTGAATGCATATGGCTTTCACACCATTGTAAATGTAGAAAGTCAAAAAAGCCTAAATTGAACCATTGTAAGTTAGGGACCATCTGCATTATGCTTGAGGTGCTTATTAGATTTCCAAGTGGAGCCCTGGCTGGTTTGGCTCAGCGGTTAGAGTGTCGGCCTGCGGACCAATGAGTCGCAGGTTCGATTCCAGTCAAGGGCTCATACCTCAGTTGTGATTCGTCCCAGGCCCTGGTTGGGGTAGTGCAGGAGGCAGCCACTAGATGTGTCCCTCTTTTTATCCTCACCGGAGGAGACTTTTGCATTCATCTTTAGATAGAGCGGGAGGGAGCAGGGGGAAGAGAGAGAGAGAGAAACATCGATGTGAGTGAAACATATCGAGTGGCTGCCACCCACACGATGCCAACCGGGGCCGGGACAAACTGCAACCAAGATACGTGCCCTTAGCAGGAACCGAACCCGGGACTCTCTGGTCTGCAGGTGAACGCTCTAACTGCCGAGCCAAACTGGCCAGGGCTCGATGTGTCCCTTTATCGTCAATGTTCTCTCTCTCTCTCTCTCTCTCTCTCGCTCTCTCCCCTTCCTTTCCCTTCCCTCCCACTCTATCTGAACAAAAATGGAAAAATGTCCTCGGGTGAGGATAAAATAAAATAAAAATTATGCCCTGGCTGGTTTGGCTCAGCAGTTAGAGCATCGACCTGCAGACCAAAGAGTCTTGGGTTTGATTCCGGTCAAGAGTATGTACCTTGGTTGTGCTTTGGTCCCTGGCCCTGGTTCGTGTTGTGCAGGAAGAAACCAATCAATGTGTCTCTTTCTCATCAATGTTTCTCTCTCTCTCTCTCTCTCCCACCCTCCCACTGTGTCTGAAAATCGATGGAAAAATATCCTCCGGTGAGGATTTTTAAAAAAAAAAAGAAGATAAAAGTTCTCCTGGGTAGGCAGCTCCGTAGGTTAGAGTGTTATCTCCATATGCAATAAGCAAAAGAACAAATCAATGTTTCTCTCTCAAATCAACTTTAAAAACTTAAAAAGGAAAAAAGTAAGTTTGATGCATATGCCTGGGATGGAGGAGAGAAGTGAAAGCTAGAGATATCAATTTTAGTCATTAGTTACAGTTTGTTAATATTTAAATCTCTAGAACTATATATCATATAGGTAGAGAACAAAAAGAAAAAAAATTGAAAACAGATATATATATGTATGTAATTGCATTATAACAGTATATTATAGAAAGATAATAGCATGCATCTCATTGCGTAAGACCAAGTACTAGTCCACAGAATTTTTATTTCATAGAGAGATGATAGGTAGATATATATAAACTGAATAATATATGTATTTTATATACTTATGAATGTACTGGGAATAATGTAAAATGTATTTCTTTTCATAAATCTAGGGGATGGGAAGTTAGGAAAATACAATTAGCTACAATGGTATGAAGAACACCATGAAAGTATGTGTACAAAAGCCAAGAGAAATGCTTCATGGAAAGAATGCTCACTTGTATAAGAGGTTAAGTACAATTGGGACTAATAAGTGACTGAAGACTTGGCAATAAGGAAGCCATTTGTTACTGATCTTGACAAGGGCAATTTCAGTGAATGATGGGAGTGGAAAACATTTTAGAATGACATTTAGAATGACAGACTGACAAAGTAGACATAACCAATATAGACAGCAGAAGAAATCTTCCCTGGGAATCCAAAATTTGAAAATCAATTCATTATGTACAAGAGACCAGTCAAAGTTCTAAAATAAACTGGTTATGATTTCCACGAGGTAGACATGTGTCATAGATTTCTAACCCCCAATGTCAACTGTATTTGGAGATAGGGCCTTTAAAGAGTTAAGGTTAAATGAACTGCTAAGAGTGGGACCCTAATCCAATATAACTGGTGTTCTTATTAGAAAAGATTAGGACACACGACACAGAAGACCATGCGAAGACACAGGAAGAAGGCAGCCATCGATCTATAAGCCAAGGAGAGAGGCCACAGAAGAAATCAACCCTGCTGACACCTTGATCTCAGATTTCTGGCCTCCAGAACTATGAGAAAATACATTTCTGTTGTTTAATGTTTGTGGTATTTTGTTGTAGCAGCCCTAGCAAACTAATACAACACCCTAGTTTCTCTCTCAAGTCTGGGTGGATCCTCCCCAAGCCCCAGACCCACCCTAGTCAAAACATGAAGCTTTCCCATCATTAGCTCTCCCAACAAAAAAGTGCTTGGATTACTTCTCCATAATGTTATTAGTTCTTGACCATTCCAATCAAAATAAGACGTTCTTTTACTTACTACATCTCACCTCTCATTCCATAATGTTTTCTGAAACCAGGAGAGCTTGAGCTGGACCTTCGTTTTGAGGCTTGGCGGTTTAAAGGCTTGGCGTTTAGGGGAGGTCTTAGGGGAGGATCTCAACCGAATATTCATCAGCTTTATGCTGATGTACCAAAATGAGATGTTTTCTCTTAACTTTATCTGTCCTTAGGTGTGGTAGGCACATGGTACTAATCAGATTTCTGCTGTCTCCCTGAGTAGGGTGTTTTAAGCTATTTACCTTCTGATTGGGAAGAAGTACAAACCATTTATATCTCTTTTGGTTTTTATTCAAACCATTTACAGTCGGCCCTCGTTTATTGCGGTTAATCAGTTCCAGACTTTACCGCGATAAATTAATTTCCACGAAGTAGGATTCTTTATTTATATAGTCATCCCTCGCCACTTCACACTTCAACTTTCGCAATAGAGTAAAGCCACGAAGTGGCAAAGGACAACTGCACTTGTTAAGTGTCCTTGGTTTAGGGAAAATAGAATTTACTAGATGGCTGCAAAGTGCTGTTTTAACTATCTGCTTCAGTTTCCCTATTTCGCTTGTCCTGGCTTACTAGTCTATCTCAAGAGCAAGTCTGATATTTGTAGCAATTAGAAACTTTGATGTCCGGAAAGCAAGTTTGACAAAAATATTCTATCAAAGGTGTTGTCACATGTCACATGATCTACATGTTACATGGTCATCTCCAGGTAGCTTGCATCTTCAAATTAGAAGAGAAAGCATATGCTTTCCTCTCTCCTCCTATCTCACAAAGATCTGGTTTTCCTTACTTCAAGAATCCCAAACACCTACAATTAGCCCCAAATCCTGACATCAAAAGCAGGAAATGTAGAAAGTCTTTTCAATTGTTTTATCATCAGAAAAGAAAGGTTGCAAGTCAGTTTTACTCTTGTGCCTTAGTAAAGCAAGAAAATTAAGTACATATATACAAGTATGTAAATACAAATACATGTATATGTATATGTACAAACACACACATATTTTCTCCAAACCCAACTCTGGCAGTGAGCAGTCAGTACACCAATCATGTAATGAATATATACTATAGACTTTATTTGGAATTCTGACCAATTATTGCATTAACCTTCAATACTGCAATTATGAAAAAAATAAACTCACTGACATCTGCTTCAAAATACTTCCCAAATTTTCACAGTTGCTGAGCCACTATCAGTTACTGTGTATAAAGAAATTAAAAAGATCTAAAATTGAGCTAATAGTACCCTGAGAAGAAAGTTTTATGTCCTCTCATTCCAAGAAGGAAAAAACCCACAGCAAACAAAATAGCGCCATTCTTACAGAACTAAGAGTTAGGTTACCTGACCCTGGAAGTTTAATATAGCCAGTATTTTTAAGTTCTGCCTAGTCGCAACATTTCTGTTTGGAATTTAGTTTAAGCCTGAACTCTAAGTAAACAAACAATTTCACATGTACTTCAAACCAACTGTGGTCCTATTACTGATTAAATGAAGGTAGTGACACCTCTCATTATCTTTACGGTCAGAAGCTGCAAAAAAAGAAAAAGAAAGAAAGAAAAAGGAGTAACCAATCACTTCACCTTCGAATACAGGCCAAGGTTAAAATCTGGGCAGACTGTGGCAAGAATGGCAATCAAGAGCAGACGCTGCCGGTGAAGCAATATCTGGTTTAACCCGAGTGAAGATGCCCAGACCTGATCCTGTTCTCTCTCCCTCTCCAGGATGCCAGAGGGCCTGTCTAGGGCAGGGGTACATCTCCCCTGAGCTCACTCCTGAGAGATCATTGGACAGCAGATGATTTTAAGACACTTGTCCATCCACGCCTTAATTTTTTTTTTTTTTTTTAACCAGACAGAACAAGCAAGTCAGCAACATGAGTAGAGCTGTCGTGTGTACCGCAGCGTGCAACTGCCCCACGGCGGATGCCCCACTCACCGCACACCATCAGCAGCAGCACGATCAGCAGCGTGGCCACGAACACCAGCAGGGTCAGGCCCACGTTGTGCCACATCTTGGGGGTGAGGGGCGGCCGGCTCGGAGCAGCGGGGCGGTGGGCGCAGGCGGGCCGGCGGGCGGGTCCCGGGCTTCAGCGGCCGGCACCAAGCGCGGCACGGCGCCGGGGCGGCATGGGAGGCGGGCGCCCCCAGGGGGCGGGGCGGGGCGGCGCGGGGCAGATACCAGCCGGACCCACCCTTCTGGGGCGGGCAGAGCGCGGGCTGAGGCGTGCCGCGGGGCGCCCCTACCCCCTCATCGCTCCCAGGAGCTAGGGACGCGGCGCCCGGAGACCCCGGCGGCGACCGGATGCGCTTCCATGGCGGACACCACGCGCCTGTGCATAGGAGAGAGGGCAGGCGCGGGGACGCGCGGCGATCACACGGCCCTCGTCGCCGCCCGCCGGAGGGTTCCCTCGGCCCTAACGAACGGCCGATAACGTCTCCTGGCAGCCGCTACCAGCTGCTTCTCAGTCCCAGGCCCCCTCCCCCTGCGGCAGCTCATCACCGAGAGTCCCCACCCCTCGCCTCCTCCGCGGCGCGGGGGCGGCTGGTAGATGGAGTCCAGAGCCTGGCAGGGGCTTGAGAAGGCCGCCCCAGAGGGACTACAACTCCCAGAATGCACCACTGCCTCAGCTGCTTTGTTTCTCCCTCCCTTTTCCCCCCCTCTGCCTTTGGTTTTTCTCAAACCACAACCTCTGTCTGCCGACTGCGGGTTTTATGTTCTCCGAGCGCGCGCAGTTGGCCGTGCCAAAGCGCCAGAGTGAGTTCATCCATTACTCCACATACAAAGCCGTTTTGTTTAAAACCATGGTTGACGAAGCACGAGGAGGAAAGACGGGGGTGGCAGCTGCCTGAAAAACTGGTTGCCTGTGAACCTAGCTCTGTAACTGGGGGCGAAGGTTGTATACTCTGGACTTTTGAGGAAGTACCCACATCCTTACCAACGAAACCGGCCAGAGGCTCGGAATCTCCCTTTTCTCCCTGTAACAGATGTTGCTCTGTGTTTTCGAAGGTAATGTATTTCAGAAATGGTCCGCGGTGGACTTAAGGACATCTGCTTTGCCCTTAATTCACCTCAGTTGTCAATTTCATCCATGCTGCTCCCTTGAGACCAAGTGACAGATGACCCAGTACTGAAGATTTTGTTGCACTAGCTGGAGCAAACCACTGTGAAACAGGACACTTTAATAATCTCAAGTACTGTATCTCTACCTGAAATTGAAAATCCTCAATTCCTTCAGATTACATTCATTCATTAAAAGGTGCCCCAAAAGAGAGAATAAATGTGTAACCCACTTCTGGAAAGAACCAGATATAGCCTTTATGTTTTCCTGTGCCTCTCTTGCTCCCTACAATACCTTTCCATTCTACAAATTCCTTTACCCTGTCCTCTCTCTCCAAAAACAAGCAAACAAAATCAATTAAGCAATCCCTTGATTTGATAAATATATCTTGACCATACCCAGCTGCTTTATTCTGTGTGCTGTATTCTCTATGCAACAGTATTATGAACAAATAATTACTATACATGAAAATATTAAGGGATAATGACTTTGCAGAAGATTCAATACAGGTTCCTATGAGGAGAGAATGAGCCCAGTGCAATTAAGAAGTATTTATAAAAAATATCAATTGATGCTTTTTCCATAGATGGTTCGATTCTGTTGCATAAATAAAACACATTTTATTAAAATCTAGTTGAAGAGTTGAAAAAAAAAAAAACGAACAACTGGAAGAATTTATTTTAAAGGCCTTTATCTCTATTCTTCACATACGTTGAATACCTAATAGGTGCCAAGCACTGTTGTAAGTGCTGGAGATACAGCAGTCAATAAGACAAGCAAAGGTGTTTATGTTCAAGATGCTTATTATAGTTGGAAGATACAGACGATAAGTGTAAATAGGGAAATCTCAGAAACAGCTAATTCCTATATTGAAAACAAGGACAGTGTGATAAAGATAGGGGTGTTATTTTACATTAGTGGATCAAGGAAGGCCTACCTGACAAAGTGACATTTAATCTGAGACCTAAATGACAGGAAGGACTCAGCCATGGAAAGACCTAAGAGGAAGAGTATACCAGGTGATGGGAGCAGCTAGTGCAAAAGCCAAGAGGAACAAACAAATTTAGCCATTCCTCTAAGCTTTGGTACTGCCTCTCAACTCTGGACACACATTTGGAGTCACCCACAGAGGTTTAAAAATTACAAATGGCCAGACCTCATCCCCATACCAAATAAATCAGAATCGGTGTAGGTCAGGCACAAACTCAGTTTCTAAAAGATCAGGTAATTCTGTTGTGAATCCATGGTTGAGAGCCATTGGTCTAAAGCAGTGGTTCTCAAAGGATGTTCTCTGAACCAACAGAATCGGCATCACTTGAGAACTTGTTAGAAACTCAAGTTCTCAGGCTCTACCCCAGACCTATTAAGTCCAAAACCGTGGAGCAATCCAAGTGAAAGGTGTTGTCTTGGATTGGAGTATTAATCAAGTGAAAAGCTGACAAATTAAGGATATGTTTTGAAAGGAAAATTATCAAGATTAGCTGACAAATCAATTAGATGTGGGGACTGGTGAGAAAAATAAAAAATGAGTGTCAGGTTTTTAGCAAGAGCTTCTAGGTGAATAGCAGTGCCAATTCCTGAAATGGGGAAGACTGTGCAACCATCTCCCCAGAATGCTTTAGGAACTCCTATCTTTACAAATGAGTCTTAAATATCTGGGTGAAGATGTTGTGACTGGGACAAATTCACAGCCAATAAACAAAGTCTCCTAACTCAAAAGTCAGAGATCTTTTCCACTAAACCATGTTGTCATATGTCTTATCATTTGCTATATTAGCAAAGTTGTTTTTTTTTTTAATTTTTTTCTTTATTGGTTTTAGAGAGTGATGACGGAAAAGGGAGAGGGAGATAGAAACATCGATGAGAGAGAACATCGATTGGCCGCCTCCTGCATGCCCCCCACATGCAGGAGATTGGGCCCTGCATGTGGGATTGGGCCCACAACCTGGGCATGTGCCCTGACCAGGAATTGACCTCTTGGTGTATGGATCAACGCTCAACCACTGAGCCACACGGGCCGGGGTAGATCATTTTTCTAAAGATAAATTCTGTAAAGGTTTTCAAGAATAAGGTTTGAGGCAACTTAAGCCACAGTTATTTCTGGAGTCCTTCTACTTGCTGTTCTCACCCCTGAATAAAATGCTCTGCTCCTTCCTTTCTGACTGCCTTAATCCTCCTTATCCTGCAGTTCCTGTCCAACTTCCTCCTCAAGGAAACCTCTCGATTCCTGTTCATTTGTCTTGAGAAATGCTATTGCCAACTATATTTAAAAATTAATTAGGTATCCATCTTGGGATATTCCTTGGATTGTTTTATATTATTATTTAGTATTTTATATATACATATCCATATATATTATTTAGCATTCATATATATTTTTCCCCCAAATATGATTCTTCAAAGGGAACATTTACTCCTTTGCTATTTCCCTCTATAAGGGAGGGAGCTTAATTAGTAATAATATGTCTGGTCTCTCTATGCTCTTTTATTCCCTCTGTGTATGGTCAGGGGAGGAGTAACTTATCTAATTTGTACATTTAGAAAAAACAAACTGGGTTTGCTAAGCTCGTTTCCTCCCACATTCTTCTTGGGTACGAGCTTTCTTCGGCCTCACCTGCATAGGCTTTCAGCGTAGGGGAGCCTCCCGAGCTCAGCAAGGCCTCAAATTAGGGTTTACTTAACAGGCCTGAGCGGCTCTCACATTAGTATGTGTTCTCTTAGTCCTTATTAGTAATAAAGGTAATAATATGGCCGTCATGTGTCTTATTCATTTTTTAAATTTCTCAGTTGGGCAACATGTTCTCATTGCTCCCCCGTCAGTGATCCCACACTGCTGTTAAGATGATTAAGGGAAGGAGCCAGGAATTCGGCATTTATGTTTCACCACATAGTAGGTACTTGTCAGATATTGATTGATCCAAATGTTTGCTCTCTAAAGCCTGAATTTTAGCCACTTGTTCTCCAAACATTGTGGGAAGAATTACTCTAAATGTGGGATACATATAAAGTAACTAAGACAAGACTCCTGTCCTTGAGGAAACCTAGCTGTATGGCAAGTATTTACCAAACACCTTCTATGTGCTAGACATTGTGCTTGCCAGTAGCAATACAAAAATAAACACAATCTGCCCCCTTACATAAAAGAACCCAAACTGGCTCAGCATTTTTTTCAATGTTGATCCATCTGTGCTTCATGAAATCAAGTTAGTGAGTCATGACCAGCCACAAAGGAATGGGATGGATCAATGTGTATGACAAGTTTGTTTCAGTTATCTGTGTTTGTGTGTGCAATTGTTTTGTTTGTTTGTTTGTTTGTTTGTTTGTTTTGGTACGTGCTCCTAGCGGGAAACGAACCCAGGACTCTGGTCCGCAGGCCGATGCTCCAACCGCTGAGCCAAACCGGCCAGGGCTGTGTGTGTGCAATTGTAACGCAAAATATATTCTTACTGTGGGTTATAGTTTTTAAAAGTTGAAAATCCATAGTTTAGCAGGGGGGAGGTCCTGTTAAATATTATTTTACACATAAATCATAGGAATTTTATAGATGATATTGAGGCTTAGATCATCTAAAAAAATTTGATAGTAGGTAGTGGATAGATTTGACATTCAAACCCTGGTCAGTCTGACTTGAAATTTTGTTTCTGTTGTACCACAAGACTGGGCTACAAATTCTTAGGAAAGTTCTTGAGAAAAGGAGATTAAGGAAAAAGTTTTGAAGCCATGAAAATGCATTTTGTGTATATATGTCGGGGAAGGCTGTGGGTTCCTTAAGATTTCAAGGAAAAGTCACAATTTTTTTCAGTTGTAATGAATTTGGAATAGAGGTGGCTGAGAACTTCTGTTCTATAATTAGCCTGTGGCTGAGACTTCAACTTGATTGAATCACTCCATCTCTCTAAGAGATTAAGCCTCTATTACATTTAAACATTTATAAAATAGGCATAATAATAGTACTTTCTTCAGAGGGTTGTTTTGAGAATTTAATGAGATACTATAAAA